TTTTACTATGCAGTGAGCGTTTACATTCCAAGGTCTGCAGGCATTTCCATCCCAGATCTTTCTAGCGGCCAGCTCCTCAGCTGTCTCTCTCACAGGCAAAACATCTCCAAAAGGGAATTACCTCCCTCCTGACCTGGTACCAACCAACCTCATCCCACCCACCCACCCACCCAGTGCTCTCCAACACCATAAATGCTTTCCCTATCCCATCCCACTCAGCTGTTCATGCCAGAAACTTCTGAGTCATCCTTGCTACCTCCCTGTCAGCAGTATTAGTAAACCACCACTATCATTCTGATGTGAACGACAAACTAAACCTCAGCTATCAAATTTTACCCACCACACCGTCCCTGGGTGACTGCAGGGGCCTGGGGTGGCACTGTTTGCTAACACCCACTCTCTCTTCCTGGGTGGCTGCCCATGATTGCACAGGCTGTGCCACATGACTGGCTGAGGAACTGAAGCCTTTGGTGTTCTCTCTCTCTGGGGGTAAAAAGCAGTCTTCTCACACTGGTACCCCATAGGCACGGTGAGTACCAGCTGTGCCCGCTCCTCACACCGCTCTCTGCACAGCTGCAGCATAATCATTTGAAAACCACAGAGGAGCCCCTTTCTCATTTCAGACCCATGAGTGGATGGGTACCCACTACCATAATCCAAAGTCCTACAAATGGCCCCAAGGCCACATTTTCCCCTTTAGCGCAACACCTTTCTCCTAGAACTCCATCCCCTAACTTACCTGGTCGCTTCCTAGTCACTTTTTGGGGGTATGTGAAATATCAAATACAACTTATATTGAAGGAAACCGTCCAGGCCTTCCCCAAACCATTGGACCGGCCCTTGCGCAACAAACGATAGATACCATGTGCTTTTCTGAAGCACCACTTAAGATCAGGATACCTTGGGTGACTGTGTGCTTGTCTGTCTCTCTAGCCAACAGACTAACGGATGCATAAATGCAGAGACCAACTCCAGAGCCATTCATTCCATCGTGGTCGCAGCTGGAGCCCCAGGGCCAACAATGCCTGGCTCAGTAAACAGCTGTTCAGTGAACAAACCTGAGTGAACAAGTAGCCCAGGTACCCAGGACCCCAAGGAATGATGGCTACTACTCTAAGAAAAGAAAAACTAATCATGGGAGGGTTTCTTGAGAATTTCTTAATTGGAAGTAAAAGTACGGATCAGTGTCTCAGAAACTCCCCGAGGGGCTGGGGACAAAGCCCAGTGGAGGAGTGTCAGCCTAGGTGGGCCAAGGCCCTGGGTTTGATCCCACCTGGCACAAAGAGAAAAAAAAAAAATAGAAAACTCCAGGGTTTGGGCGTGGTAGCATTTCACTTGGGTGGGGTTGCCATCCTCCTTTTAGCTATGGACATAGAGCTTAAACGGAGCCAGCTTCCCAGGTACACAGCCTATGCATTCACCCCATGGGGCCCCTGGCATGCTGGCCTCATACTCTGTTCCCACCAGCCTAACACTCTTACATTTTAAACAAACAAACAAACAAAAACCTCACAAATTGTGTAGCCATTCCTGAGTTTTAAAAATTACTTTTATTTCTGAAGGGGCCAATTACAAGCAACTCGTGGTTAAAAATGCACCTTTCATAGCCAGGGCTACGCTTTCACCTCCCTGAACTTACGTAAGGCCTAATAAAGGGGTCACCTTTTCTTCCTATAGCAGTTACTGCATGTGTTTTATGTCACTCTTTTTCATTAACTTTTGGTTTCTTAGACTACAGCAGTGTACCACAGAATGCCGTTAGCTAAAGACTGAATCTCTCTTACCGTGTGGGACCCCAGGATTGAACTTAGGCAGCAGGCATCTTGACCTGCTGAGCCATCTGACTGGCTTTATTTACATGGCGTCTCAGCATTAGAATTTTCGGTTAGGTTTTGCTGTTGTTATTGTTTGCTTGCTGAGGGAAGGGCTCTATGTAGGCCAGGGTAGCCTTGAACCATTCATCCTTCCATTCCAGCCTCTTGAGTGCTAGGGTTAAAGGCACTACAGACTGTCAACTTTTCCTAATCAATATGTACAGTCAATCCATGTTTCATTAACTTAAAAAAGCTGAAAGAAACATTGAATGTACTTTTTTTAAAAATCAGTTTAATATTCCTCTTTTAAAGATTTATTTATTTTTTTTTTACTCTTTTTTTTTTTTTTTTTGGTTTTTCGAGACAGGGTTTCTCTGTGTAGCTTTGCGCCTTTCCTGGAACTCACTTGGTAGCCCAGGCTGGCCTCGAACTCACAGAGATCCACCTGGCTCTGCCTCCCGAGTGCTGGGATTAAAGGCGTGCGCCACCACCGCCCGGCTGATTTATTTATTTTTTAACGTGTATGTGCTCATGCATGCAGGTAACCAGAGATGCCTCAAGGGGGCCTCAGACCCCTGGAGTTGGCGTTACAACCAATTGTGAGCCTTCCAACATGGGTTCTAGAAACTAAATTCTGGTTCTCTGTAAGAGCAGCAAGTGCTCTTAACCACTGAGCCATCAACTCTATAGCCGTTAGTATTCCTTCTCTAGTTTTAAGTTTCTAATTCCAAACTTTATGAAGTTTTACAGTGGCATTAATACCTGAAATTTCTGTGGCGATAAAATTTCTGTGGCACACAAGCCATTCACAGGGAATAGTAACTCTTGGATTTTTGTAATAAAAAATGTCTTAAAATTCAAGGCATTTTAATTTATTGATAGCTTCTCTTGATAGGAAGTACTTAAACAATAGTTCATTGACACCCAGAGCATTTCACATGCAGGCCTACTTTCATTCTCAATTGGGGTGACTTTGCTCCCCTGGGAAATCCTTGACAATGTCTGGAGCCACATGAGATTATTGTCACTGGAGTATGAGAGGTGTTTCTATCACCCGGTGGGTACAAGAATGCTGGTAAAAATCATATAAAGTACACAACGATCCCCTGCCACAGAAAACATCTAGCCAAGGGCTAGGGCTAAAGCTTAGATTGCAAGAGTAGAGGAATAAAGCTCTGGGTTTGGTACCCAGAACCACATAAGGGTGCTTGGTGGAGCTCACTTATAATTTAGCTCCTGGGAAGGAGGTACAGAAGGATTAGAAATTGAAGGTCACTTTCTGTCCACTTCATAGTGAGCTGCAGGCTACACAGACCCTATCACAAAATGAAATCTATCTGGCCAAAAATGTCAACAGTGCTATAAACACATAAGGCATTTGTCTCTGAAGGTAACCTGACAGCATCAAACCGTACCTAGTCAAGGCTAAGAATAGAGACTCCACAAGAACATACCACACCTGATTTACAACAGTTACCCAGGAACACCCTTTTCAGCAGGGTTGGATATTTGACATCCTGACCTAGAACTGTGAGTACATTCCTCATTAATAAAGATGAATGAATAAAAATGACAGGGACCTTGCCCCATAAACGACTACATTACTCAGCGCAGCTTAAATACTACATACTTCCCAGCTAGCAGCCTTTGAGCCCGGCAATGCTGCACGTGTCTGAAATCCCAGCACTCAGGAGGTGGATCCAGACTTTGAGGCCAGCCTGAGCTATGTACAGTAAGACCCTGTCCAAACAAACAACCAGAAAACAGCATCTGGCATTTAGAAAAGTCGGTTTCCAACAGTACTGTTTCCCACTGCCTAATTTCCTAACTGGCTCTTTCTAAGAAAGCGAGGTTTTCCCAAAATACCATCTTTAAAGCTTGAAAAAGGAAGGAAGGAAGGGAAGAAGGAAGGGGAAAGCAGAGATACCTGTAGTTTCCCACCCTTCCAGAACTGAAACCTGCTCCCAATCCTCCTGCATTGGGGCCCCTGTCTGCGCCACCTAAGCTACTAACAGGTAATTTACGCTGATCTTAAAAAAACAAAACAAAACAAAACAAAACATTTACCCCTCCTCTTCCCTTCTAGAAGACAAACCTGCCTTTCAGGACAGCTCTAAATGGGGGCAGCAGGCCAGAGGAAAAAAACATATTGCTCCCCCACTACTCACCAAATTCAGGTCACAGCCCCACCCACCCGCCTTCTCAAGTCAACGCACCAGTGCTCTGTCTGAACACTGTATCTCCTCCTAATTTGCCTCTAGCTCCATTATTTGTAACAAAACAACTCTCTTCTGGGGTGAAATGGCAAGCCAAAGAATGCACATCAATCTGACAGTTTTTGCAGAGCCAAGTTCGGATCTACCGGCGACTCCTCTAAGGTGGAACTGGGAAGAGGATTAACAGTCACGTGACGGGGGCGTGGGGGGGCGCGCTTTTTATTCAGCTCTGAAAGAACTGAGACTGGTAGCAGCTGTGATCATGAGATGGGTTTCTTAAGTTTCAGGCGTGGTGGCGCACGTTTTTAACTTTGGTAGGCAGAGGCAGGCAAATCTCTGTTTTGTTCAAAGCCACCACCCCCACAAAAGGAAAGACAGAAAATCTAAATAGCCCCAAAAAACAAAAACAAAGAAACTAAGGAAGTAACGTGTCTAAGAAGAATTACCTGTTTTCGTAACAGACCCGCAGCCCCGAAGAACAAGGCAAGAGGAAGAATGGCTACTGCTTGGACCCCAGGCTTTCTCTGCCTCAGCGCCGGCTTCCCGGTCGGTGCTCTAACAGGGGTCGCAACGCCTCTTCGCTGGGCTGTGGTTTTACGAAGTTTAAGTCCTTGGCGCCTAAGCCACCACTGTAACCGTTCGCTTCTTACCTTCCTCTTACTTTCCATGCCCGCAGCCAACCCCGATTTCTAAGTCCCCACTCATTACACGGGTCCGGGAAAAAGAGGTCAGAAAGTGACTTCCAGATGCCACAGTGTAGCGGCGTCCCACCGAAGGACCGGAAAGAGGGTGGGAAGAGGACGCCCGCTCCTGCTCTATCCTCGCCCGGGGCACCCGGACCGAGCGCCTTCTCACCCGGTATCAGCACCACTCCCTCCCCGGTGGAGCTCGTCCCGCCTGCCCACGTAGATCCGGCTCGATGCTGTCCAGATCTGCTGGGCTACACGGCCACTGGTCCGGCTTAGGTTACCTGGAGCCTGTGCCTGCTGGGCGCACGAAACTCCGCTGCCCGGCTCACAACGCGGATCCTGGCGCGCTCAGCCCGCTGCGCTCCAGACCTCCAGGCCAGCGCCACGCCCTAGGACCCGCCCTCGAGACCACGCCTCCGTGCCCACCCTTGAGACCACGCCCCTGGTCCTGCATCTCCCACCTGCGGTCCCGGCTCTAGGTGAGGGCGCCCTCTGGGCGCTGCAGTGGTCCCGGAAGATAGTTAGGATCCAAACTTCCTTACTTCCTAGGATTTCTTCGTTCGCTGGGCCAAGTAGGACCAGGTACCTGAATGAAATCTTTTAAGAACTTTTATGCCTTCTTCCTCTGAGGCAGGAAATGTGCCAACTGTTGTCATGTCTGACTTAAAAAATGAGTAAGAAGGTCAAATGCCATCGCGTTTGTTTATAGCACATGAAGTTTAGAGATGCCCATAGAAGAAACCTTGAAGCACATTTTGCACAAGAAACATAGACGGACATGTTTATGTCACCATAATGTCAGAATTTATTGAATAACCAATACATTCACAAGCAAGGTCAGTTTTTTGGATACAACTTGCCAAGTAATCCTGATTTTACTTGAGAGCTGGCTCTTCTTTTTCGCACGTTGATTAGTAGTATCAACTCTCACTTCACACATTATACTTTACACAATGAACAATACACAAATACGCAAGTTACAGAAACGGAGAGTTTGCAAGCAGGGGGGCCATAGGTGGGACCCTGTTTCCAGTCAGCATGCCTGGTGTCCCTCAAGGATAGGTAGTCATTATCCATGGGAGTGTGGAGAGCAAGGCTGGGTCGACTTGGAAGCACCAATCTGTGCAGTTCACCCTCTTGGGCTGTACATCTGTGTAACAGAGGTTACACATCCTGAGGAATGCCTTCTACAATGTCACACGAGTTTCATCGACACCCACAGTGGCTACTGAGTGAGACAACAGCACACCAGTTCATGTCCACTCCAGCCCCGTGTGTCCTTTCTGCTATGCCTGGGCCTTTCCTCTTCTCTGCTGGGGGCTGGTTCCTGGAGGATTACTTTGTCTGCTCTGTCCCTGCCCCCTGCACCACTCTCTCCCTGGAGCCTTACTGGGATAAAGCAACACCAGCCCTGGCCACCTGCAGAAACGATGACCTTGGTGTTAATACCCTCCTTAATCTTAAGGAAAGTCAATCTTGCCCCTTTTCCTAAGAGATTTCCCCCTCCAGTGACAGTCTTACAATCTCTTGCTTTAATTTTATGAAGAAGAGTAATGTCATAATGCATTATTTAAAAGTTTAGTTCTATTATTATTTTACATGTATGGATGTTTTGCCGGCAGATACACACACACACACACACACACACACACACACACACACACACACACACACACATACACACATATGCAGTGTCCTCTGAGGCCCGAAGAGGGCATCGATGCTCTCAAATTGGAGCTACAGCTGGTTGTGAGTTACCATGTGGGTGGTAGGAATTGAACTGAGATCCTCTGGAAGAGCAGCCACCTTTCCAGTTCCTGTTGTAATGCATTATGTGTTTAAGTCTAGAACAGAGAGCGGGCATGAGCCCCTTCTAATCTGAAGTTTATGGTTTTCTTTTCTTTCTTTTTTTTTAATATTTATTTATTTATTATGTATACAATGTTCTGCCTGCATGTATGCCTGCAGGCCAGAAGAGGGCACCAGATCTCATGGTTGTGAGCCACCATGTGGTTGCTGGGAACTGAACTCAGGACCTCTGGAAGAACAGCCAGTGCTCTTAACAGTTGAGTCATCTCTCCAGCCCCAAGGTTTATGTTTTTGTCATGGAAACAAAAGTATGACAAGTATCTTCTACAACATGTATTTTGTTCCAACTAGATAAAAACCAACGGCAATTTCTTTTCTCCAGCTATCCCTAAATCCACTTGTCCCTTTACTAGGGGACAAAGTAATATTTGTAAAGTCCTTTGGTAAAGTCATTGTGAAAGTAAATACACCACGAAGCCTCATAATGCATTATGGAATGTCATGATGTGATGTTTGAAACTAAGACTGTCACTTGTTTTCATGAGAATAAACTATTTCCTCGATCCTCACTGAACTCATTTGCTCTTCCTAGGTTTACCGCAGTAGTTTAAGTTTGTTTTGAACGTCAATGTCTATAAGAAACACACTTTTTCTTTCCTTTTTCCTCCTTCCTTTTCCATTTTGTTTTGTTTTCTGTTTGTTTGGTTTTAGTTTGGGTACTGTAAGGGAAACCAGGGACTTACACATGGGAAGCAAATGCTTTGACCACTGAGCTCCATCACCAGCCTCTGACCATCTAGCTAACATTAACGTGTACTGTCAGCTTTTAGAATAAGTCTTATGTGAGGCTGCAGAGTACTTGCTGCTCTTGCAGAGGGTTCAGAGTTGGCTTCGAGCACCCACGTGAAAGCTCAGAATCACCCGAAACTCCAGTTTCAGGGGATCCAGTACCCTCTTCTGACCTCCATGGGCACCAGACACACATGATGCACATAGACACATGCAGGTAAATACTCATACATATAAAATAAAAAAAATGAATCATTAAAGATAAAAAAAAGAAAGAGGAAGTCTTATTTTCCAATTGGATATAGTATACCATGCATGCAATCATTTGCCTTTAAATGCTGCTGTAACACATATTGCATCAGACTATGCTAGTGTTTCAGGATTCGAGTATTGGGATGTATGAATCAGGACCTGGTCAGAAAACAGAAATCAAAGCAGTGTCTTTCCAGAGAATATAAGGAATTGCTGGAAGAGATATGGAGAGTTGGAAAGGGACAAGGGAACTACTGCTGAGGCAGATCGACTTAATTGCAGGAAGCAGCTGCCACTCAGCTAGAGACAGGGAAACCCTGGGTGACTGGAATTCTGAGGAGGGAGTGGACCCACACTGGGGCCTTATTTCTGAAGGTCAGCCCTGAGGCTGGACACAGAAGATGGATTAAATCCCAGAGATCAGGACCAGCCCCTGTAACCAGGAAGACACATGACCTACTAACACCACGGGGAAGAGCAGGCAAATAAGATGAATCACGTTCCTCCTTGCTCCTCCAGCCTTCCGTCTCCTCCAACACCACTACTGGCAAAACCTTCCAGAAAATGTGGTTTACTGAGTCCAGCCCCAGGACATAGTGTAGAAGGGTCAACTTCCAGACTGCATCACAAGCCAACTCACTATCACAAACTCCAGCTGCCCTAATATTGGTGTGAAGGGTGTCTAATAGACACAACTGTTATACTACATACAGTGTTAGTGATATATTTGTAAATGATTGAAACAATACTTTAAAATATACATATTAATTCTATGTGTATAAATGTTTTGCCTGTAGTCTGTGTACCATGTGAGTATCCAATGCCCACAGAGGCCAGAACAGTTCATCAGATCACCCAGGGACTGGAGTTACAAACAGTTGTGAGCACCCATGTGGGTGATGGGAATCAAACAGAGGTCCTCTGGTGTTGTGTGATAAAACTTTTCCTAGAGAGATGCAACACACATATCTACTCACTCGAGATCGGGAGCCCATTACAGACTAAAATACAAATACCACCAAAGTTCAACTTGGTGAACTATGAGTTTTATTGGATTTACTTACAGGAATATGGGGGAGGGGGTACTTCCAGGAGCACAAATGACTCAAAGGCAGCTGCATCACCAAAGCTATCCCAACATGGGTGACAGCTCACAGAAGCTGGGACCCTGGAACACACTGCACAGCCTGCAGGCAGCTCAACATTGGAAGAGTGTCCTTTCCAGGCAGCTGGTCTGGTTTAAAGAGTCTTCTTTGCAGCTTAGCTTCCTTTGTTTGAGAGGACCTTTCTACTTTTATTGCTTACTCTGGCAGGCAAGGGCTTAGTGAATCTGGTCAGTTTCAGGGACTTCCTGAAGCAGTTTTGGGTCGTTTACCTTCCTGCTTAAGGAGGTTCCCTGCAGGATGGAATATTCCAGTCTTAGCAGAAACTATTGCACAGCAAATGGATGAACAGACTGTGCTCTTAACTGATGAGCCATCTCTCAGCCCCTAGCAATAGCTTTTATAAATATCACAAGAGAACTGTAGTATATGTTGTTGGGAATATTATTTTAAGGTGTGTTACTTTTGTTTATGTTGCATTTGTTTAACTCTGTGGCTGTGTTACTGTGCCTGTGTAAAACACCTGATGGTCTAATAAAGAGTGAATGGCCAATAGTGAAGCAGGAGAAAGGATAGGCGGGGCTGGCAGGCAGAGAGAATGAATAGGAGGAAAAATCTGGGAGGAGAGGGAAGAAGCAGCCAGAGAAGGAGGAGGACACCAGGGACCAGCCACCCAGCTACACAACAAGCCACAGAATAAGAAATAATGAAAGGTTAAAAAGAGAAATAGAGAAAGGTAAAAGCCTGAGGCAAAAGCTAGGTGGGATAATTTAAGTAAAGCTGGCTAGCAACAAGCCAAGCTAAGGCCAGGTGTTTATAATTAAGAATAAGCCTCCGTGTGTGATTTATTTGGGAGCTGGGTGGTGGGCCCCCCCAAAGAGCAAAAACAAACAACAATATATAATGCCCTCAATAAGAGGATATCCTCAGTGAGCTATATCAGAGACACAGGCGGATATATTTGACTCTTTCCTCCATGTCATAGTTTATTAAAAGGATATAAATTCAACAACCTAAGTCAATTTCATTGGCTTTAATTCTCTACCTATTCATTCTTGATTTTACTTGGTGTCCATGACCACCAGCAATCACAACTTCTTTTATTTCAAACTTAATTACTGATGTTACTAATGTTGTGTGTGTGGAGATGTATCTCCTCCTGTACTCCCTTCATTTCTAACTTCTGATCCAGAAGAATTCACAGCAGGACACAAGCAGGGCAAGCAAGTAACCAAGGCTTACCTCAGCAGGCCAGAAAGCAAGTACGGACCTCCAGAGCAAAGGGGAAGGGCGGATGTAACAGAGTGCAATTGCAAAAGACTGCCTGGCATCTGGACTTGTGACTCCTGGTCAACTGTATCTCCTCCCCTAGCCTAGCCTTGGGGCATCCAGCAGTGGTTTCCT